CCTCCTGACAGACAGCAGTACCTACCTAGATGCTTTTGTTCTCATTCACTTCATATGTTTAGCATATATTTTTGGCTAGGGATAATGACTTACAGTGATGGTAATATAAACTTTTCTTTTTGAATGAATTTATTTATTTAACAACATGAATAAAGTAAATAACCCAGGTGGTACTTGAAAATAGCAAAAGTTGTGAAGTTGGTATATGACGAAATGAAATTTGGGAAATACTAGCATGAAGTTAATTAATATAGACACTAACGATCACTGCAGGATGTCATTAGCTGCTGATTCATCAGGGTATGTGGGGGACTTTTTATCACCCCTGTGAGGTAGCCTTGGATCATAAAGCCTAAACTAAAAGCAGTCTTTCTTGGAAGTACCTGAGTCATTCATATATGTTTTCTCAGCTGCTCTTCAAGGTTCAAAATCCCTGTGGGCTTTTGTCATATCTGTGTGCTGTCAGAACTCCAGTTTGGGAAGCACTTCCACTTTTATAAACAGCTCACTCTCACAACCCTCACCCCTTTTGTATCTGGTCTTGTGTCTGCACCCTCACCTTGAACCTACTGCTACAGCATAAATGGATGGAGCTTTAAGAAGAAATGGAATTCTGAAGTATGGAAGACCCTTGCAAGCATGATGCCAAGTGCCAGAAGCCTGTCACAGACAAATGCTGAATGATTTTCACATGTAAATTGTTAAGAGACAGCACAGCAGTGGTTGCCAAGGGCTGGAGAGACAAGTAAATGGGGAACTAGTGTCTAATGGGCACAGTTTCAGTTTGGAAAGATGAGACAAAGTCCTAGAGATGGAGGAGGCTGATGGTTGTACACTAGCACGAATGTACTTAATGTTACTGAACTTTGTGGTTGGTAGTGATTAAAATCATGAATACTGTTACGTATACAGTATTTTACCACACTAAAACCTGAATAGGGCATATTCTTTCTGCCACATTCCTTTGGTTTGCCCCCGTTCTACCACAGACAATTCCATCCCTGCCTGTTTCCACTTGTCATAGCTGTCGGTTCAAATGTCTACTCTCCTTGCTTCTGCGCTGCACCTCCCAGTCTCTGCACCAAGCTCACTTTGCCTCCAAGTGTCAGGCTGAAAATAGTGGGCTCCCCAGGAGCAGCCTGCACAGTGAACCCTCCATAGTTCTGTGGCTGATGACCCTTGGTCACCCTATGTCTCCTGGACATGCCTTGCCTCAGTGGGTGTTCATGATCAAAAAGCAAGTCAGGTTTCCTGGTGTGGCCAAGAAGTACTTGATTTTAGTATCTTATCAGCCATCCTTCCAGCCATTCTTCTACTGTCTTTCCTGAAATAAGCAGCAGCCAAAATGCAAGTCCCTGATCTGGAACCTCAGCTAGACAGGCAGTTGTCTCTCAGGCTGCTCTGGTGCTGGCCTAGAGGTCTTCTTCTGGAGATTATGTGCTCCCCATGCTTCACACAGTGAAACTAGACATCATCTCTGATATCCCCGGATGTGTTCAATCTAGCTGGAAGATGAGTGGGCTTGGGTGGAGGTGGGGGATATGGAATTGTCCCTTGGGCCTCATAGGGGACCTTGGGTCCTATTTGTTTGTTTATTCTTTTAAGTGAATCTGTGAGCTGGATGTGAACTTGAGGATCATCTGGGCCCATCTCCTCTTTGTACAGATGGGGGCTAAAGTCTGGAGAGTGTAAGGAACTGCCCCAGTGGGGAAGACCCCTCAATTTGGCAGTCAAGCAAGGGGGCTGGCCTCATCTGCCTGGCTGGCACCTCTGAGCTCAGATGGGTTCCCTGGCAGGGATCCCAGGTGAGGAAATATGTGCTGCATGTCCATTACATCTCTCCTTCCTTCCTTTTTGCCTACAGAATTCCAGAGACAGGAAAGCATCCGGTCCCAACACAAGGGCATCCAGTTATACGACACCCCTTACGAACCTGAAGGCCAAAGCATCGACTCTGACTCGGAGAGCACAGTCAGCCCCCGAATGCGGGAAAGCAAGCTGCCCCAGGATGATGACAGGCCTGCTGATGAATATGACCAGCCGTGGGAATGGAATAGAGTCACCATCCCCGCCTTGGCAGGTAGGGAGCTCCTGGTCCTGCTCAAGAGATAGCTGATCCTCAGCCTTCTTTGCACTTGCTACAGGGAACGGGTGTGTATACAGGGTCCCAGCCTGCCCTGGGACAAATGCTGGAGCTGTATTTGACAATCCAGTTGGACTGGTCTTTCTCCTAGTACTGAAGGCCCTCCACAGATGATGTGAATCCCCAAGGACAAGGAAAAACTCAAGTCTGGGGTCCAGAGTCTGTTTCTGAACTCATCTTTAGAGACAGCCCATATGTTTAGAAATTAAGAGAGAACTTATGTGCAGAGTAGGTGCACTGGCCTGATGTAGCCCCATGAACCCATCCAGTCCTGTATAGATGACATAGCCAGCCACATGTGGCTTAGAGGGCCACTGTGTTTCGCATCCCACCTTTAGTGTGAGCCTGCTCTGAATACAGGCAAGGGTACATCCTGGCCTTATGATATACCTAGCCCCCTCCCTCCTGCCAAGAGCCCCTTGAGCAACTCATGCTTCTTCCTCCTCCAGGACTGGATGTCTGTCACAGTACTAAAGCACCTCTCCCACGACCCTTTAGAAAAGTGGTGTGGCCACATGTCACTCATTCACACCTTTTGATTGTAATCCTATGCCTGAGAATTTATGCCAAGTTAATGATCTAAAAGTCAGACAAAGCATTGTTTATAATCATGAAAAATGGAGAACTGAAATGTCCATCCATGTAGACGTAGACATCCATGTGCTGCATCCATGTGGTAGAATATTATACAGCCACTAATAAGTGAAGTTTTAGAGTTTATAACAACCTAAGGAAGTGCTTGTGTTTAATATTAAGAATTTATTTGTTTATTTGTTTTATTTTATTTTTTTGTACTGGGGATTGAACTCAGGAGCTTGTGCTTATGAGGCAGGTAGAGGAACCACTGAGTTAAATCCCTGGCCCTAGTATTAGGATTTTTTTTTTTTTTAATATTAGGAATTTAAAAGCCAGAACATTGAATGCGTCTGAGTTTAGGCATGTAAAAAGAAACTGAGTGACTAATTCTTCCCACAATGAAGGCCATAAAGGGAGTTTTAATTTGTTGAAAATCATTTGCCTTAAATCTCCATCTTATACACAGCTAGATCCTGCCTCCCTCTCTAGACCTCAGTAATGAGCCTGGCCCCCAGCCTGCAAACCTCAGTTGATGTTCTGGTTTTGCAGCACATGTACCTCATACTTCCTGGTGTCCCATGCACACCCTATTTTTCTTCCTGAAATTTCACCCTTCCCAGACTTGCTATTTCTGGAAAAATCTTGCACCGCCTTTGAGGCCCAGTTCAGATGTCGCCATCTCTGTGAGCCCTCCCTGCTACATAGCTTTGTGGTTCACAGATGTCCTTGTCAACTTTCTGAGACCATCCAGCATCCTGCACACGTCACTGGTAGAACATTTTTCACACCATGACAGATCTTCCCCTGTAGGTGTTGGTCTTGCCTGCCAGGTTGTGGACTCCACAAGGGCAACCTGTCTCATCTTTCTGTATCCCCACCTCCTTTCCTTATATCACTGTCTCTTTTATTTGCAAACCAAACGCAAAGGTAGTCCTGTGACTGATGATCCTTGGTCACCCCGTTTCTCCTGTACATTTTACAGCCTCCTCCCTCCTGTTGACCTAAGGGAATCTAAGAATTGTCCTTACCATGCTTCTTCAGGTGTGGGAGGAGTCTATACCATCTATGAGCTTGTTTTTGCAGATACCAGGTTGACTAAAGGGCTGAAAAGGTTCAGGTGGTGACTCCTCCAGATACCTTTAGTGTCCCTGGAATGTCACAGCATCACGGTGAGGTATGGAGTGTCACCCTGTCCTGTTTCCTATGTCCAAGTGAAAGTGGGTGAGGAATGCATGAGCCACCTTGCAGGTAATGAGGATGCGTCAAAGCAGTTCCATTAGATCACTAAAGTGTGGCTCCATTTGTCAGCCTTGGAGCTGCTCAGGAGTGAAAGGCAGAGTTCCCAACTGGGCTAGTGTGGTTTGCTTATAGAGGGAAAGAGGTTGTGAGTGTGCATGTGTCTGTGTGACTGTAGATATATGCACACGAGTGTCTGCATTTATGCTTCAGTGCATCGCTGATGTGGTCAGAGAGTGAGGCATAGAGGGCTGGATCCTGTCCTTATTGCAGTACATGTTGGGGAGGCCTCCCGGCTTTTCTCAGTTTTCAGGAGCTCTCTGTGATGGGTCCTGGCAGCCTGGGGTGCAGTATATCCTGCTAGTGCGTGGCCTTGTGGCGTGGAGTTGGTTGAGCAAAATCATAACCGTCTCTTTTTACCTCTTATATTGTCTGATTCTGCATGCTGAGCCTGGATGAAGAAATTCTGGCAGGAACCCTAATCAGTGCTTTCAAAGTCCCAAAGAGCACTGAGTTTGGGGGAGGTGGTGGCAGAGGAGAAAGACAGAACTAGGACCCCAGTTCTATAAGCATTTCAGTGAGCCATAAGTGTATACTGAACTTCCTGTCACTGGAGGTTTGCAACAGAGGCTACACTGAGGTAGGGTAGATGACAGGTTCATCCTGCAGCAGGAGGTTGGCCTGTAGGCAGCTCCAGGAAAATATGCATTCATTCCATGGGGGGATGTGAGCATGCTGGTGGGTTGAGGACAGGGGAAGAATTCTCTCAGTTCTGGCTATGAAGCAGAGTGCTGCCCTGCTTGGCATTCATGAAAAGAGGTCCTTCTTGAAGGGGAATTCAGCATCCTCCCCAGAAGCAACCCTTTTTGGCAGGAAGGAGTATAGCTACAGGAAGAGCCAGTTACCATTCTCTAGCTGTTGTGACAGGAACACAGTTCCATAGGGTGTGAGGTTATCCTAGCCTTCTGGATATGAAAGTCTTCCCAATTCCATGGCTTTGTTTCATTAAGGATTTGGGAACAGGTGGGTTTGAAATCCCCCAGGTTTCCCCAAAGAACCCTGGGTGATTCCTGCGTCCTCCCCCTCAGGACACTGATGGTGACCTCCAGCCAGAGCCCCTGCCTTGTGTACTCTCAGCCCCCAGAACAGATTCTCGGTTAGGTCTCAGCACTGCTACAGGCATGGGCCATGGGCCATGGCTCCTCCGCCCACAGAGAGGTGGTATAGCTTCTATTAAGCTGTCAGACCTCTGCTTCCAGAGCTGTCTGCACTCCGCTCCAGCCTACTTTGAATCCACAGCCCCTGGAGTCTCATGGCAACAAACGGTGAGAGCCCAGTGGGTCTAGAAATGGCTTCCTGACCTGTTCACCCCTCCTCCCTCTGCCAGATGCAGCCTTCCTGAGGCCTGTGTGACATTCCCTGCCCAGCATGAAGAAGGGAACAGGGTGACATCACACTGTTTTGGGGTAGCACTAGTTGGTGTAACAGGTCAGACTAGCCCTTTACTTTGTGGCACAGAGTTTAAGATAGACAAATGGTGCCTGTACAGAAGGGAACCACAGGGCCGGGGATGTAGCTCAGCAGTTCGGTGGCCTGCCTTGCAAGCACAAGGACCCGAGTTCAATCCCCGGTACCAAAAAAAAAAAAAAAAAAAAAA